ATAACATTATAAATGCAATTATAATCTATGCCTCGATTACGACAAAACTGTTAACTAATTGATACACATTTCACGGATATATGGCTTTCAAATCACTCATTATTTTCACTGTTTGTAAACATTATTATTATTAATATTATTATTATTAATATGTATTTAATATTCATTTAATACATAACTTGTTATTAATTAATCACTCGATTTGAATATCCGATGAATAATTCATTAATCGCTATATTATATAATGTTTTGTAATATAATGTGTAATAAATAAGTGAAATGTAATAATGGTTTGCAAATAAAAGTGAGTTTACATTGAATTGAACCCAAAAACGTGTGTTTTGTTATGTGAATGAAAATATACGACAAAATCAATACTTTTTAACCATTTTTTGGTATTCATATAAAAATGATTTCAATTGTGATTATTGTATAATACATTGTATTTTCATTAAAGACAACACAAGTGCTGACACGAGAAACAAAGTAATCATATTTTTCATAACTCAGAAATATGTGCAAAAAGTTTTGGTCATCTCTTATATCGTTGTGTTATTTGATAGAAAACTATGAAATCATTTCATCGCTTGTTTGCCATTGAGTTAATGGGAAACACAAATACATAGCAAAAAGTTGTGATCAATACTTTGTATTTGCATTGAAAACATGCATTTCAAGCAACTATGATATGTTTGACACTATTTCTCATACCATTTATCTTCACTATAAGTTATGGTAATTATGTTTATTATAATTATATTAAAAACCATTATTTTTTTGTCTGTTTCTCTAATCGATTGATAAGTCATTGATTTTCTCTTTGCCTCCCATTTGCCATATCATAGATACGATTGTATTGTTTAGTAATATATCTTAAGTATGAGATCTGTTTATCTTAGAGTCTTTGCGATCAATCAATATCTGAGACTAAAATCAATTCATTTATGCAATGATTGATAGATGTGTTCATTATATAAAATGAACACAATATGAATATACAGTTAAACCTCCCGATCTCGAACGGGTCGGGACGCAAATGTTTGTTCGAGTTATAGAATTTTTCGAGTTATAGAAAGTTCGAGTTATGGAAAAATATTGAATTATTTACAAAAAAAGTTCGAGTTATAGAGAATTCTGTTTGACAATGTTGTGCTGCTATGCATCATTTTATAAATGCAATTTTTGTAATTAAAATTAATTAGAATTACAATTACATTTAATAAAAAAATAGATAATAAAATGATTACAAACATTTGTATAAAGTGTACATATTTTACAATTCAGTAAAAATTCGAGTACTGGAGGTTCAGTGAAAGGTATTGGGTCTGTGAAAATAGTTTCCGTTTCGGAATACAGAGGTTCGAGTTGTAGAGGTTTTCTATAATGGGGTGTCTATGGGAGTGAATCGGGACTTTGAAAATAGTTCGAGTTATAGAGGATTTCGAGTTACAGAGGGTTCGAAATATGGAATATTAACTGTACCCTCAAAACACTGATTTATTGCAGATATTTATAAAACACATTACAAAGATTTGACGATTAAATTAGTTATGAAATTGAATACTAAATTATTCATAAAATAAAACAATTTCTTGGCTTATCTTTTACTTAAGTATGAGATCTGTTTATCTTAGAGTCTTTGCGATCAATCAATATCTGAGACTAAAATCAATTCATTTATGCAATGATTGATAGATGTGTTCATTATATAAAATGAACACAATATGAATATACCCTCAAAACACTGATTTATTGCAGATATTTATAAAACACATTACAAAGATTTGACGATTAAATTAGTTATGAAATTGAATACTAAATTATTCATAAAATAAAACAATTTCTTGGCTTATCTTTTACTCTGAATTTATGCGAAAAGTTTTGTTTCAAAACTCAAACTAATATTAATTCAAAAAAAACTACTTTTTAGTTATATCTCGTCAGCATATCATAAGTTATAACTATTTTATTGATATTTAAACCCAAAAACAGTGAAAACTTGATCGTAAAATACAAATTCAATTTATATGTTAATTATAATTAAACTGAAAAATATTCGTAAAAAACAATACTAAATATTCTAATGAAATATTTTTGTGCTTATTTTGCATATATTTAGCAACTAATCCTCACTATAGGCTTCAAATCACACCTTCGGTTAAGTCATTCTTTAGGGTCGGGGACTCCCTGTCTCTTAACTGCCGTCTCATACCAGCCGACGCCAAAATGTGATTATATATTAACCATTTATAAGCTATGGGACAGTCTTTGCCACCGAATGTACACAACAAATATAAAACCATAAATATTTTAGTCTTTCTTTAACTTCTACTCCATTAGACATAACGTTATTTTCACTAATATTAACAATTTATAGTCAGTTAGTGTCAGACATTCATTAATTTAAAGATATAGAGTAGACATAAAACATTTGGTGACTGACTGTCCCATAAAACCGCAGACAAAATATTAAGACAAATGTGTTGTAATGTGTGGTAATGTACGAACAGATTCCCACTTCGGGTGACTCTTCCGATCAATTCGGGTCCTCTGAGCGGAAGGATTCGCATCTCAGAGGAGCCAAACAATCTGACGGTCACTATCAAAGAGTTACAGGTGAACGACACGGGTTGGTACAACTGCGAGGCCGACGACAACACAGACCCCATCCATAAGTCCATTTACGTGACAATTCAGGCCCAACACGAGGGCGACTGTCCGGCCAATACATTCTTCTCGTGCGGTAATCGTCTCTGTATTCCCAAGAGATATGTTTGCGACGGCTTTACTGACTGTCCCAACGATGCCGACGAAAGCGCCGACATTTGCGGTAAGTGTTGCGCCAAACCATTGATCCGTTAAAAACATCCTTTTAATTGGTTTTAAAGATAATTTTCTGTCTATTATTCAGTCGTTTGCATAAATCCTTTCTTTTTTTAAGTCAATTAATGAACGAACACTTGATATGTTTTAAAGTGTTTTTATAATAAATGAAAGCCTTTGTTCCGTAATCTACTCTATATTACTTTTAATTGAGAAAAATCTCATTATTTATAAAAATTAATTAACTTTTTTGACAATTTTTATATCCGACACTACTTTCAATGCTTACATTGTTTTATCTAATTTTGTTTTGTTATTTCTAATAATAATAAGTCTTTTCGGAGATAAATAGGAAATTACACAATAAAAAGTAAATGTTAAGTAATTTTTGTCTTATAAAACTAACTGTTAGTCTAATATGCAATCGATGTCTGTCTATAGAAAGGAAAAAAGTATTATTTTGAGCTCTTGTTCAGCCATAAGACGAGGACAACAACAACTCAAACCGTTATCTCTATTCCGATCGTTGTTTCATGAGATGGAAGAGTGAGAATCAAAAGAGACTTCTCAGCTCTCTCTCTCTTTCTCTCTCTCTCTCTCTCTCTCTCTCTAACCCAATTTTGTCTACA